AGGGTTTAACCGTAAGGCCCGCCAAAACATAGGGGTTTCCCCCCGCCTCCGCCCTTTGGAAAACGCGCGGACAAGGGTTTACCGGTTCGGGTAAGGGCATCCCCCCCACCCCCCCCCCCGCCCCCCCCCCGACCTCCCACCTTGTCATCGCCTCCACCCCCATGAAACCAACATCTCCGTCCCGATCCCCCCCGACTACCCCAGCCCCGGCACCCGGGGTGGGATCTGGAGCGTCCCCGTAACGGGTAAGCCATTGCCCTTCGCCCTGAAGATGCTCCTTGAGAAGCTGCCGAAGAGGAGAGATGTACCCGGTAACGGAGTGGCATAGGGGGGGTTACGTATGATCCAATGCATTTCTTAAACGGACTAGCATGCCGAAAACAAATTGCTTCGCTGTTATATTTTTGCAAACATGTTTTAACTGTACCCCTTGATGCTGCAAGTGGTTCTTGTCAGGGATTTTCGTTTCCCATTGTCGGTTCCGAAGTGAGACGCACCAGAAACGAAAAAACAATGAGCTCGCCACACGCACCGCAACACGCCTTCGACCAACTGGGTGATGGGCGTGTTGTGCTTGTTGGTAATGGAAAGCACATAGGCGATGGATGGTGCCACTATGTACAAAGAAAGGTCAACAACAGCGGGAGCGGGGTGTGTGGGTGGACTTGTGGGCGGGAAGGGCACCACTGCGTTTCCCACCATCAGCACGATAAGTACGGTGTACTAAATGCTACAAACGAAAGCCACAATGACGCCACCAAGCAGCAGCATCATTGACAAAGTCGACAAACACCAATACAAAACACACATACACACGGGAAAGAACACCTACACACGCAGAGACGAACACGGTGCAAAACAAATAGCAGTACCGTTACTACCGTTTCTGTCTTGAACCCGGAGAGTAGCTTAGCATTCTTGACGGCCGTGTCACGGGGTCCCAGATCATGGCCTGTAGAAGCATTCTCCGTTTCCAGCCGCACTGATACTCGCGTATTTTTTCATTGGTCAACCGGTATGCGCGGTCGATGCTAACGATAAAAACACGCACGCCCCAATCAATGTCTACCTGCACGGCGAAGTCCTGCTGGAGACTGTTCAGCGTGCTCCTCGTCAGCTTCACGTCCGCCGTCTCCCTCAGCAGCCGGACGGATGAGCATTGCCGGGGCAGCGCTTTCTCCCCCCCCTCCCCCCCCCCCGCACTACGCGGAGCCCCCCCCAAGCCCCCCCACCCCTTGCCGGCGCGGTTGTACCACGAGGAGGAGGCATTTTCTCGGGGAGGG